ACTATAATTAATGAAGTACAGTTAAATTTTTTCGTTAAATTTAATTATTATTAGTAATGTTATGTTAAACTATTGTTTTTTATATAGGTAGAATTTTTTTTTAACTACGGACAATATTAAAAGCTTGTTTACAAACTCTTTTCCAAGCTACATTTGTAGTTGTCCCTGAACTCCCTGAAAAGTACATTTGTTAAATCGTTGTAGTTCAATTGTAAAAAAATTATTCTCAAAGCATGACATTCGATAAAAACTTTCTGGAAAAATTCACTGAACAATTTTTTATTCTTTTGTGGAAAATTCTATTAAACTTCAATTTTTACGAATATGAAAATAAAGACTTTGAAACTAAGTTTCGAAACTAGTCACATATGCAAAATTTTCATACTTCACATTTAACAAATAATATGCTAGCTTGAGGGATTTAGAAAAAGAAGTGCAATGGAATTTTCATATTGCAGTGAAACCACAGAATTGGGAATTAAAAAAAAAAACTTTTTAACAAAATAAATTTCTTATTAAGAAATTACTCAATAATAAAGGCATTCAAGAAAAATTTTATAATTTTATATAAAAAATTCTATTCTATTAAATATAATAATCACTTTCGTCTGAATAATATGACGTTAAATTACAATTTATATTCACAAAATATTGGTCTCACCCGTGCGAATCGTTGAGTAACATTAGCATGACTCTCTCAGTATATAAATGATGCTTTTGGTCAGTTCGTTAAGGAGCGTTGACTCTGAGCTTCAAATTGGCAGGGCACGAGTTCGGTTTTTGGTACTTGTAGTCTCAAAAAATTATTTACGAATAATTAAATACAATAATTATTTCCAAGAGCACTGATGATGGGTATTTGCCAATACTAGAATCAGCTGTATGGTTAACCAAAAATTCGTATTATTTGGATTCAAACAGATGAAATCTTATTCTTTGTTTCATTTTCAAAGAATAATAAAGCACAGAATATTCTCATATAATTTTGCAAAAAATTATAATTTTAAAGTCTCATGTAACAAAACATGTAGTATACAACATAATCGACACAGTTTGTCTAATTTTTTTCATTTGTTTTGCAAAGCATTGCGGACACTGTCCGCGTTCAGTCCATCATCAAATGTGAATGTTATCAAAACCAATTGGGACAAACTGTCCTTATAACTGAAATGCCCTTTTAAATTAAAAGAAGAGAAATCCAAACAATAACTTATATTATTTCTTTCTTTACTCAGATGACGTTAAAGTTAACAACGCATCCTGCTAAATATAAGCCACTGGCTTACCTGTTGGTACTTTATATATTACTTCCTACGATGATCTCCAAAATTATATACAAGCATAATATTAATAGCTTTATTCTATTGGATTTGCAAAAAGGATGCGACAAGTACTCACAAGTATACAACAACCGACTAATGGACATAGCGGTAATCGAAAAACAAAAAAAAATGTGAGTTTGGGTTATATGAGCAGTTAAGTCTAGGTTGTACTTACACAACAGGTATTCTTTATGTACAAAGTTACTGACAAATTTACTGGATTTCTCTAGTGTGCCATATTACATGAAAAATCCAAAATGTGCGAAGAATCTAAGTGATGTAATGTTTAAAGTGGGAGCTTCAAACTGATCACATTATTTTAGCTAACAGACCCAAAACTATGCGATAGTATATAATTAATTAAGAAAATATATAATGGGTACGCACGATCTCGAATAATGAGCTCTGTAATCGAGTGAATTATAAAGTTATATCGCAGTTTAAAACATAAATTGAACACATTTAGTAAAAGGATTTACATAAATAATTTCACAAGTCCACAATCCTTATTTTGATAAAATTGTTTATATTGCTTCTATCTTCAATTTTTATTATTTAACAAAATTTGAATCTCAAATCCAATTCTCCAATTTAAATATTTGGATCAAGAAGGATATATCAAAATTATGAATCAAATATTTGACTCAACCGTTGTAGTTCCCTTTAAATTTAGTTAATATATCATAAATTCATACAATTCGAAAAAATTTATTAAAATTACAATAAAAAAAAATTTAATAAAATAATATCCAAAAAGTTAAGTTTTTCCTTAAACATTGTTTATACCTATATATTTGGTTAAAACTTTTAGTCTTCAACATTTAAGTTAATCATCTGATGTTTTTTTATACTGTCATTTAAATTACCAAGTACGTGACGAGAAGCTAAAACACGTCGATGTAATTTCTTTCGCTAATGAAAATCAATATTTTAACCGTTCCTACTAAAAGCCACTAAAGTGATTTTTTGGCTCTTCTTTCTTTTATATGTGCTCCATTTTTACTTTTAATTAGACTGCCATTTGGGGTACATCATCATTAAGCAACGCTTACGCAGCAACAGAAGCTCATTTAACGGAAATGAATGAGTTTTAATGAACACAGAGGAAATGGCAAACAGTCAGGAAACACACAATTTTTTATATGGAAAAATCCAGACGAGTACTGGATGTTGAAATTTGTTAAAAAGTTATATTATTCAAATTTAAATACTTACCTTAATTTATAATTAAATATTCATTTAATTAAAATGAAAATAAATACTTTATATAATTAATTCAATATATGCTTAATGATTTAAACGATATTAAACTTAATTTAATTTATGTCTAAAGCTATTAATGGAGTTTTGAAACATATCAATAGGATGTTGACAACAAAGATAAGTATATATGTCTATTAATTTTTAATATTCAAAATTTATAAATCTTCAAAAAAAACAACTAAAGTATAGTCCCTTCTAAAGCATATATGTGCAAACTTGCAACAACGAAATACTAGAAATTGATTTTATTGTTGTCACTTTACTTTATTACTCTGGTACTTGATTACCGAGTTTGTTACATAGGGTCATATATATCACCAATATATCATTAGTAGAGGTGTTAACAAAATTAAATGAGAAATAGCGATATAAGAAGTAACTTTATTTTTGTCTATATATACATACAATATTTAATTGCATTAAACTTACAAATTAAAATAATAAAACAATAAAAATAATAATAATAATAATTATAATAGTATGATTAAAATTCTTCATGTAATCTTCTAAATCTATTTCGTCCGTTTCAAAGTACTCTCATAATCAAATCAATACACTTATGCCAACTCTTTTTCAATCTTATTTTCTGAACGGATAGTATAGCTTACAGAGATTCGGTTTTTATATTCTTAGTCACAATGGTATCCACTGAGCAGTTTCCTTAACTTAAGCAATTATCAGTCATATGGTTCTAAATCAGGCGTATACTTGATGTCTTCTTCGAACCAAAGCAATGAGAGATAGTGGTGATGCAAGAAATAAGAATTATCTTTCAATATCCAGAAATATGACATATATCTTTTGTTTGGAAATAGCTTCACGTAACCATTGCAAAATGCAAAAACAATGATTCATATTAGCAATATGGTTCAATAAAACAAATTCGTAATATACATTACCATGATAATAAATGACTTCTGCTGCCATTTACTCGAACACCATTCTGGTATTTGCTAGATTCATCATTAGCATCAATTCCGGCCTCTTCCATATTCGCTTCATTATTCGATTGTTTTTAGATCGTATAAATCGATTTTAAGCGATTTAAATCGACTTTAATAAAAAGTTGTTACTACCGAAAAGCTGGGTATTTTCAATAAAAAAATTCTTGTTTTTTATATCACAGTATTTGCACATTCACACTGTCTCATTTAGACGGTTTTGCTCGATATAATCACTAATGAGGTTGATTTACCATACAAAGTACTCTTGTTTAAATGAGCTCATTATCAATAAATCAGCCCATTTAAGGCGAAAAATGTCGAATTCAACCCTAAAAAATAAATTTCCCATTAGGAAATTCCCAAAACTTGAAATATATGGCATATGTTTTATACGTAAAATGTAGGTAAACAAACAACAGCTGAGCTGTAAGCAAAGGAACTGAGGAAGTAAGTTATTATTGAATTGTTATATAATTGGTATATAAAATGCATATAAATGATTTATATATCAATTATATATTTAATTATTTTGTGTAATATATTTTTAATTTAACTTTATAAAAATTTATAAAAATTTTACAAGCTGCATAAATCAGCTCATTTTAATGTGAACGTTCACTAAGTAATTTAAATGAGCAAATGCCTAAATGAGGCAGTGTGAATTTACTATAATATATGTTATTTTTTATTAAATGCTGAAATTTAAACTCCTCTTAAATTTTTACACTCAATATCAATACCAAGATATATATATGTTAAAACGATGGTCTTTACAAATAAGTAAATTTGATATGTAAATATAATCGAAGACATATGACATTAAAAAGCCAAAAATAATATATAATTGCGAAGCACTCAAGTGACTATAAAAATAAATTTTTCTATTATGGGAATAAAAACATCTGATAAATTTGTATTTAATGAAATGATATGCTTTTGTGAAACAAAATACGTTGAAAAATAAAACAATAATAACAATCATAAACACATTTCGATAAAAACTCAATTTTTATTACTGTTTTAATTAATTATAGCTTTTGAAAGCAATAAAAAATTGCATAAATAAATTTATCACTCATTATGCATTTTTTTGGATAACAGTTCTGTATTTATTTTGAACAAGTCTTATTAATCGGGAAATGATTAAATGTGAACAGTAATTAAATATAACTGTTTTCAAACATATTAATCAGTGTTATAATGTTCATAGATATAAGTATCTAAATACTGTAGTTAAGTACGTACTGCTATACCTTGTATCTTACTCGAATAAATTTTATTTCATGTACCTTGTATCTGTATCTAGATACGAAAATTCTATAACTTCATTTTTGTTGAAAAAGAAAATCGAACACTAAACAAAAACAATATTGGGGTACATGATAAGTAAATATAATTCTCTTAGGCTACCTAATGAGACCACGGTAACCAACCAGGTAGCAATTAGAGAAGCCTGTTGGCAAATTGCAAGTCACATCGAGGACAGAAGTAGTATAACCATTTCTATTGACAGCCAAGCAGCAATCATAACCCGGTTCATATTACCCTCGAGACCATTAAGAGAAGCACCTTTTTCTACTTTCTGCAACTTGCCAATAACAGATGGAAAACACTGAAGTCATATGCAACATAATTCACCTATAATAAAAATAGATCCTCGGAACTTATGAAAAGAGACCGTTTAAACACTGCAACTCTTACTGCAATTTTTTTTGGTCATTGGTGTATAGGAACCCATGCTACGAAAATGTGTGATTGTGTATTCACTATAATCCACACTGCAGAAGTTAGTGAAACCCACAGGAAAAGAAACTATAATACATTTTCTCTGTAAATGTCCTGCTTTGGCATCCAGAAGATATAGGTTCTTAGGATTACACTTCTTTGATAGTTTATCAGACCGTTCATCAGTGAAGACGAAAGAGCTGTTAAATTATGTAAATTCGGCGGGATGAATTTAGTCTCTACTCTTCTACACTAGAGTTCCTTTGAGGAATGTGATACAAAACGGCGAAAAATCGCTAATTGAGTTATATGGATGTTATCTAATGGCCTGCCACTGCAACCAACTAAGCAACCATTCTAATGACTAGGTTTCGATTTCCTATTGATATATTACTTCGAGCAACTTTTCACGAGGTTATCGTTCTCTATTAGCCAGAATTATAGTCATATTGACCATTTTTTTATATCATATTTACTTCGCTGCAAACAAAAAGAAATGTGTGTATTCAGATATCTTTTAATTTGCGTTTCGTTATATTTCTATTATTTTTGAAGGCAATAAATTCAAATTTAAATGAACCTTCTATAAAACTGGGTATAATATTTTAAGGAACACAGAAGGAAAACGTGTTTAATGGTAATTGTTTCCTATTCCTGTAGGTGCGAATTTATTTTGCGTTGAAAATCATTAAAAATTAAGTGTAAAAAATATTTCTTTCAAAATTTTATGATTAAATCATCAAAAAATACTTCTTTAGACATTTATGAATGAATAAAAACTTGAGGTATGTCATTCGATTTAATAGCTTAATAAAATAAAATATATTATAAAGGTTACAGCTTTTTGAGGTTTATACTTGACAAAGTGTGAAATGTTAAAATTTTAAACAAATCTTATTAAATTGCTGTTAAAAATATAATTAAGAATTTGTGTTATAAAAAAAAATATGTTCACTTAAAAAATATATTACTTGTATAAAGTTTTAATTGAATAATGAATTTGAAGAAGAAATTCCTAAGAAATTGCTTGTTTAAGTAGTATCTATGCTATTTTTGCACAGAGTTAATGCTGTTGTATATCTAATTTAGTTATTTTAAATAAATATTAAGATAAATTTTAATATTAAATATTTGTTTAATTTAGACTACATAGTATTTAATAAGCATATTCAATTTTTTTGTTTCATATAGAAAACATCTATAAACGGACATAACCAAAAAAGACAGAAACCAATACAAAATATTGTAAATTATTGGATTGTTCTAGCAATCTTAAAAAATTTAAGCCAGTGGAAAAGAATCCATAAACAAAAGTTTTATGATTAAGAAAATTTCAATTACCAAAATTATTTTAGTAATAGTTCTTGTTAATCTGAGAGTTGAGAAAATACAGCAAATAAATATTTATGCAGTAATATGGAATGAATTAATAATAAAAATACTTGTTTTATTATTATGAATTTAAATTAATAATATTAAAAATAATAAAAAGGCTTTAGTATGAAATTAAATTTTAAGCACTTAGAGTTTTAAACATTTAGTAACTGAACTACTTAATAAGACATTTGCAATAATCTTAAATTTGTTTTCTAAGCTTTGTTAATAAATCCTAAAAACAGTACACTTCATATTTCGTGAGGTTTCTAGACAGTCATTCTAATTGACAATTTCACTTACAACCTACGATCTATAGTAATACCACATTGGGCCTTAAATGTTTGTTAATTATACAACAATTTCGAAGTCCTAACAAAGCTCAACCCATTTTTAATATTAGTACTGGAGACTTCGCTAAAAAGAAGACGAAATCATAAATGCCAAAAAAATTTATTTTGCCTTTGACTTAAGCTGGGAAGCTACAATAGAGTTCTTCCACTTTCTCATTTTTGCAACTTCTACAACGTTCTAGTTTTATTTTCAGTTTAAAAATATACACAAATAGCCAGTAATCGAATATAGAAGTCATAATCTTAGATATGTTCTCTCTTGCTAGACTGAGTAAGTCTCTCTGATCATCTGAATAACACTATTTTTCAGTAATAATTTTCAAGTAGTAATATGAAGTTTTGTTACCCTCTCTGTCAAATTTGCGAAGGATGGTTGTAATACCTCGTCTAGGTAGTTTAACGATTTTCAATTTCGTCATGACCCGGGACCTATATAAGGCGCACACTGAAAACTGTGCTGATATCATTAAGAGCAGCCAAGAAATTTTAAGCAAGTTAATTGATTTAATGACCATCTGTCTATCCGAGTATATATTTATTGTTGGTTACCGCTTGCCTGCCTAAATAGACAGCTGTTACTTCGATCACTAGAAGCTCTACTTTATATCTACAGTGGTTAGGCAATGGAACAGACAACTACGGTTCTAAATTATTTAAGAAGGCCTCAGAGCTGACTCTTTATTAAGCTTACAGCCATTGATGTAAAAGTTTGTATTTTCTTTTTATTCACTTTTAGATGAAATTCGTGTTTGAAAGTGCTTAACGTAGTCTATTATCGCAATAGAGTGATCGCATACTTCAGTTATTCAGAATAGGAGTATGACCCGGTTGTAAATCACACTGTTACGCCATGTTTTTTACTATCAGTACTGATGATGTTAAAATAAGCAAAGAAGAGAAAACAATTGATCAATTTCTATATAAATAAGCTAGTCTGACAATATAAAGATATTAAATTTTTAATTATAATTTCTCTTATCAACTATACAGTACGGTGTGAAAACCTAGAATACAGTATCCATACGTGTGTTCACAGAACGTCGACTAAATATTACTTAGACTGAAGAGATCGTTGTTGGCTAAGGTCGTCACTCAGCCAACCAATAGATTTAAAAATAAAATAATATGCCACAATACTTTAACAAATTAAATGATAATATATGCAAAAAAAAGTTTCTTGAATAATAATTTTCAGTTAAGTTTGGTTAAGTTTTGACAATAAATTGTCTAATAAATATTTAATTAAAAACTGACCAGATGAGAACCAAAGTTTAACGTTTTCAAGTGAAAAAATGAATTGCTTAATGTTCTTGCTTATCTGTCTGGGATGGAATTCAATTGCAAAATTATTCAAAGGATGTAAAGTAATAGTCACATCCTTTTGGATTTTATTTTATTTTATTTTCTATCTAAATAAAAGAAACTTTGTGGATTTGCCTTCAGAAAAGTCAAAATCATGTCGAAGCACTTAACTTCAATAAGATTTGGTTTTAAATAATTGAACAACCGTAAAATAAAAGAAAATGACAAGAAAAATACTGGACGTTGACATCGCAAAACTGTTCCGGATTTGTCTTTTAACCGATGTACGGACAAATTTTTACATTTATTAATGAAGGGAACGTGGGACAAAGGGCGAGAAGGAGATACTATGTACGAGTATTTAATTTGACAATAATTTAAACGAAAATTGCATAGAACCTAAAAAAACTAAGTAAGCAATTTTCTGTTAAGAACGTGTAATTAAAAGATTTAGAAAAATCAATTTAAACAGAAATACTTACTTGAGTTTCTCTAATACAATAGTAAAAATAATAAAATTTATTATTATATTTAAATCATTATAACTCTGATTTTATTGACTTATGATTATTATTATTAATAAATTCTCAAATTAGTTGCATTATAATATTATAAAGGTATGTAAATAGTTTCAACTTTCCTAAAGAAATATGAAAAGTAAACGGAAGATAAAAGAGGACATTAGTATCTAAAATCTCTAAATAGTAACAGTATATAAAAATTTTGATACATAAAGTCCATCACTAAGCAGAGTCAAAGCACATTACAGTTTAGTTAGCGCATGAATTTAAAGCTAAGTATTTGTTTATTATGCTCTGAAACATATTTCAGAGAGTTAATCGACAAGAACTATGGTGCTGAATGGTTACTTATAAAAAAATGATCAATTTTTGTCTTCTAAGTATAATATCATCATCAGTTCTTCTAACTCTTTAAAAAAATATATAAACTCTGTAAAAAATCCTGTATGGTAAGTTGCACTTTAACTAATTCTACGAAACTCCCTATTCTTCTTTGATGTTTTTTCTTCTATTGTGGATTCCCGTTAAATGCTTCCTAACAAATTTCATAAAATTGCTTGTTCAGAGTATATCCAATACATTTTTAATTACAATCGATGATTATGTGGGACATATTCTTATATTCCATCGTTGGAGCAAAAAAATGTAATAGTTTCTGCTTATCCACCAAATCCTTAGGATGCAGCTAAGATATTTATCACCAAATGCTTGTGGTTTACGAAGGATCCTACTTTTGATCAACTACGTTTTACACTCATAGAAAATATATATGGCTATATCTTTAAATATCTTAAGAGCATATTTAGTTATTTCAAAAGAATTGATTTATTTTAGAACAGCGAAGAAAAATTTTATAATTATTTTTTTATTATAAATCAATTATGTAAAATTATTTATTGCTACTCTTTTAAATAACTTTTTTAAAATATAATTTAAGTAATATTCTTAAAATTTAATTTGAATTTAAGAGAGCATATTTTTGTTTGTTTTTTTGTTTCTAAAGAATTACAAAAAAAAATATATTTTCTGATTTTCAATTAGGTTGCCCGCCCTTAAGTAAACTCATGTGAAATTTCATTTCATTTCATCTCATCAAAACTTTTTACCTTCCGCCACAAATGGAAGGCAATTTTCAGCGGAAATTTCAGCATTGCACAAGTTATAGTGCATGTGAACTGAAATTTCGGAAAATAATAGTTTAAGTTTATATGGCAGAAAATTATACTTTCTCACTAAAAAATTATTTCCCAATTTTTTCTGCACATATGAACAAAAAGATTTTATGAAGTACACCAAATTGAGTTCATTAAAGTCATATTAAAGTAATTGATGAAATA